TTGATCTTAAAGACACAACGGGTACTTTATATTTGTTACTTTATTTGTTGTGGAGTGAAATAAATGTTTTTCAAATAAAACCGAAGAACTGTTTCTTAATATAGCTTGATACGTTACAGGGCTAAAGACCCATAGTTGATCATTATTAAATAAATATCGCTGCTAACGAGGAATATTTAAGTATATGTTGTAGAAATTTGCTTCCTTACATTAATATAAGTAATTCAAAATATAGTAAAATAAAAAAAGAAATATATAAATTAAAAAAAAAACAGAATTTAGTTATTGTTTATGCGCAGTGTAAGAGCTAGCATTAGTGGTAACTTCTGCAGCTCGAGCGTTTTCGAATAAGGTAAAAAGAAAAAATACACTGGCTAAATCAGGGGTCCCCAACCTTTTTGTACCTAAGAGCAAATACCAGAATATCGGTTGAATGGCGGGCACCATTTATTTTTTCAGGATAAATTTATAGTTGATAGACATAGGTGATAATACACATGACATAAATTGCACAAAAAATTTAATTGAGAAAAATTAATTTAACATATGAATATAATTAGTATTAATATTCTTGTGTAAATTAAATTATTACTAAATTGCTTTCAAAACATACGAAGTATAAAAATTATATATAAAATACAGTCAATATGGTCTTTGGCATCGCATTTCGCTGGCCAGCGCTTCATAATTGGGAGAACTGCTCGCAAGCAATCGCCAAGGTGTTCATCTGTAAGTCGGGATCTATATTTTGATTTTATGAAATTCATTGTCAAAAACAATGATTCACACAAGTATGTGGAACCAAGAAACGACCTTATTTTATGTGCTGCTCTTTTTAAGAATGGCATTTATTCCTTCAACTATATTCCAGAGTTTCTCATCTGATATAATAGTTTTGAGGATAAAGATCCACAATTTCTATCTCCACTTCTTCTCGCCTTACTTGAAGAAATTCTGAAATGTTTGTTGTTATTACGGTCACGTTTATTTGGTTGGTAAAAGAGTTAACAAAAAAGATTATCTAAGGCTCGATGATATTAAATTGTTGAAAGCGCTTTTCAAATTGATCTTTAAGCAATTTCATTTTTGCTATATGTTTGTCCTTTCCCTGCAGCTCCAAGTTTAAATTATATTTAGTTTTTCCATTATGTCCGTTATGAAAGACAAATCTGCTAGCCAAAGAGGATCTCTTAGTTCTAATAATGTTTGATTTTTGGCTGTAAGATCATTTTTCATTTCTTCAATTAAATGTAGAAATCTATCCAGTACTTTACCTTTTCTGAGCCAGCGTACTTCAGTATGTATTTACATAGCATTTAATGGTAAAATGGAAAAATGAAATACTTTATCTTTGGGCACAAGCAGCGGGCGCACCTAGACCGATCGACAGGCGCCATGGGGCCCGCGGGCGTAGGGTTGGGGACCCCATGGGCTGAATTATTTTACTGATTTATTTAGGAAAATCAATACTTTTATACCTAATTAATAAGTATAAAGTTTACCTGTTGAATCATTAAAATTTGATGCATGAAAAAATCTAAAATAACTAGGAATATCAAAGTAGTTGTTGAGTACATGAAATGATATAAAATAATATCATCTTAAATTTTGTAGAGTGCATTAATTTCCTCCTTTCTATAATTGAATTTTTTTCATGAAATTTACATTTTTAAAAGCATGATTAATGTAATATATGTCTACTTAGGTCTAGATCAAGTAGTCATGCAAGACGAAGAGCATCTTGTCATGTGGTACAAGAAAGCCATCTTATAAACAATGTATCTTTTTGTTTAATAAAACAGTTTTGACTTTTCCTTTTTTTATTGCTATTGATTTTATACTCATTGTCTCTTAATATTTTAATAAATAGGAATAAAACAATCAGATGTTGAAACATCATTTTATTCTATAACCAGCGTTGAACAACAGAGTCAATTTTCGATTTTACAACAGCAGAGTTAAAATCCAAAGAGCCTTATAATTTTAAACTCAAACCAGAATATAAAGCAACTCCTGGACTAAGAATTGAGGCAGGATAACATTCGCGGAGAACTTTTTTGAATTACATGTAGAAGAAAACAACAGAAACCTCCCAGAGTTAGGAGTTTTCAGGAATTAAAAAAAAAAATTTAAACGTGAACTTTTGGCAGAGTTATATGCAAAATAATTCTATCCTTTGGCGTAATATTGCACAGTTAAATAAGTTTCGCTGGAGGAAGAAAAATAATTATTGTCCAGTATCTATTATTTAAAAGAAATGTCAATAAAATTGGCTTATAAAGTTTAGAAATCGTGTCCGGAGACTTTAAAAGTATTCTTGTAATGGCACTGTCGGCCTTAACGCGAAGAGGAAGTAGATTTCTGTCTTTACTTTGCAAGTTTAGAAAGGCTGAAGGCTTAAAATGCAACGTATTATCGAGTTTGCTATTTTTTTTAAAAAATTTTAAAATACACGTAATTCCTTAATGAAAACAGAACATGAAAAATTTAACGAAGTGCTTTAATGACAATAAAACGAAGAACGAACTTGGCACACTGATTAGTACGTGATAGTTCCAGAAATTTTTGTTGTAAGCCTTCTTTTACTTAACCAGTTCATATGTCCATTTTTTCTGTTTATTATAGCTTAAAACATTACCCAACAACATTAGCCCACGCGCCGATTTGACAAAGACATCCATTTATATGTGATCCACATTCAAACTCCACTCAACGGAGGACAAACACAGACAGAGAAAGACATTCATGCCCTGAACGGGATTAGAACCCAAGATCATTGACTTCGTAGTAAAGTCCCAACAGAGAAATAGTCATACTTATTAGAACAGAGAAGTCAACTAAGATATTTTATTTTTTTACTTTCTTTTATAAGAAAAATCAAGATTTCGAGCAGTAAAAGAGTTTTAGAAAAATTTTCAGGGTGATGCTTAAAAATTGTAGTACACTGCAGCTTTTGCTGACCTTGATCTTAAAGACACAATTGTCACATTTTTATCAATCTCTCATCTTCAACACTTTTCAGGAGCTTGATGATGTCTTATCTTCTAACAAATTTATATATCTTTTTCGGAGACTCACGACTTAGTGATGAACTTAATACAGCTCTCCCGGTTTTTAGCAAAAACGGCAACTAGTGGTATTCGTTCATCCAATTCTACCTCTGATAAAATTCTGGTGGGAAAAGATAATGGCATGACTACGCCACAATCTTTATCATTTTAATATATTAATCAAAAATTGTATATATATATAACAACTCGTTCTAGTCTTAAGTTACCTTAAAGTAGATGATGATTGACATTAACGGTAATTCTCTTTTCCTACATTAGATTAAATTTATTAAAAAAACAGTTCGAATTTGTACTGCAGATTACTCCGAGTAACATTTTTTTTTTGTTTTCCATTGCATACATAAATACTATACAGGTTTCTATAGTTACCACAGGCTTATGGTGCTCTGGCATGTAAATACCGTGCACATTTCTAAGTTTACCATAAGCTTTTAGTATCTTGCATCTTGCCAGATAAATGTCATACAAATTTTTATGTTACCAAAGTTCTATGGTGTTCTACCTTACAAATTTCTATGGTCACCATAGCCTTACGGTATCTATGCCATATAAATGCAAACAAATTTCTATGGTTGCCATAGGGCTATGGCGTCCTGTCGTACAATATTCTATGGGTGTAATAGATTACCATAGTCTTATAGTTTAAAGGTTTAAATATTAAAATGTGCAAGTTAGGAATTAAGAACAAATAATATTGTTAAGATTAAAAAGTAATAGGTAAACATAAACGATTTATAAAATTAATGATTAATACTCAAAACTGGCAAGACAATTGAATTTTTACACACATAAAATCTAAAAAAAAATATAGACAAGTTGTGTATGTGGCAAGGCAAACCCCACAAGAATGCATGAGAAATTAAAACAAATTAATAATTAGGTGAATATGGCAAGGTTATAAATTATTTCTTAAATTGCGTTTAAATAGGCCGAATAGTGGTGGTCCAGCATTGTTGAACACCGAATAACCCAATAGGTCCATTGAGTCATAAATTTAGAAATAAGGGAATAAAACAAAAAAACTAATACAAGTGATAAGGAAAAATGCCTATAAACATTTTAAAGTACCACATTCATGTGTGTTTGATTATTATCTGAGCTAACTATTTAAAAAAATGACTACTCACCCAACACGGCGATGAGACAGCGATGCTGTATTGTGGTAAAAAAAAACGCAGAACACTGATCACTTATAAATATCTGTTTAATTGTTGTTGAATCGTTTTTACACATCGATTTTGCTCAATAAAATAGCTTTCACATTTTATCATTTCATCAAGCACAAGAAAAAAACAATATTTTCCTCAAAGTATTTCGAACATTCACATCACCAAATCAAAAATCTTGTCATAAAAAAATTGAATTCGTCATTCTCATGACGACTTAAGAGAGTGTATCGCTTTTTTCGTCATGCATCACCTTAAGAAAACTAGGGGTCCCTCGTGAAGAGCCAATGAGGGGAAAATTGGAAAAAAAGGGTACTAGGAAGGGCAATGAAAAAAAAAGTGGGCTGTTCAACCCCTGAAGAAACCATTGGTCGATAGAAGAATCAGTATAGGACAGTAAGACCAACACGTGGTTTCACAGTGAGAAAGGTCAAAGGGCTAAAAAATTTTTTTAAAAAAACAGATATCCGTCCAGTACGCAATTAAAAGTTCACCCACTGTGAGAGGAAAAGAAAATGTCACAAGGTTAAGATCATAAAATTATATTTTAAAGTAAAGAGCCAAGGGGCAGAAAAGATGACCGTTTTCCTCCCACGCTAAAAACTGCCAGCTGTGGAAAAAGACAGGACCAAGAGGATGGGGTGCAGAGAATAATATCAGGTTACCGCATGTGAAAAAATTTCCGCATGGTTGCCATAAGCCTATGGCGTCCTGTCGTACAATATTCTATGGGTGTCATAGATTACCATAGGTTTGTCTACGGCAAATTTTCCTATGAATTGTTCGATACGTAAAGGTCATATTTCTTTGTCTTTAGCGTAATTTTCAAAATAGCAGATAAATACATAGGTATTTATATAAACTTAATACACTCTTTAAAAACTTGTACGCTAAAACAATAAAAATTCTAAATTAAAAATATCATTTGAAAAATATCTGCAGCTTTATGAACAAAACTAACTTCAGTTTTAAAATCGCACACCCTAATTAGGTCAAATGAAGTACTTGTATAAAGAAAGCTAAAAAAAAAAAAGTTTTTTTAAGTAAATATATTAATTGATATATCAATGAATATATTCACACTTATGAAAAAATTATTATAATCGTAGGAAATACTTACTGGGAAAAATACCAAGAACTAAAATCAGTTTTTGTGTTAAGTATGTCAACTGACTCATTAGTTCATTGACTAGTTTTTTTTTAATATATCTGTTTATTAATGGATGTAATTTTTTTGTCTAGGATAAAGTGACAGTTTACCGATTGAAATGAGACACAACATCCTGCAGTGATAAATATGTTGATTAAAACCGCGTGAAATGTATGACATAATAATTCTGAAGCAACAATAACATTCATTTTGATAAGCGCGTATAGAAACAGGGAAGTAGCTTTGATCAATCTACTTGGTCACTTAAAATCATCTGTAAATCACATCTTTTAAATCATATTTAAATAATGCACATTTAAGAAGGATGAATTCCCTTGATTTGTCATTGACCACTAGAAAGTTTGACCTTATTATTGCTCACTACAATAAATTGACAGAATTTATGTGTTTTTATTTGGAGAAAACACATATATACAATTAACAGTTGATGACCTCTTTGCAATCTTTTAATGCACATGAAAATTTTTTGAATGTATATAAAAGGGCTAGTTTTTCACTCAATTTTTCATAAGAATCCAGTCAGTAAAAATGGCTAGTTTTAATTATTTTTTCTGTATTCTAGGAATACTTTTTTGTCAAGTTTGTAAGTAATGAATATTCTCAATCATATTTTTATCTCTTTCTCTAAGTTATATCACACTCGTGTTTACTCATTATTTTATATAACAATTTTTCCGAAACACGTTTAGGTAAAGGATTTAAACCTATTACCTGCTACTGTTAATTTATTTATAGCAATGTAAAAAAAGAAAACAGTAGCGCGGAATTAGCACTTAAGTTTAGCTTATCAGCTTCCAAAAGTTTAGCTTGTCAGCGTAAAAAAATCAGCAGCGAAATTTCTAAAATAATATTCTAAAACTCACCTTTCCAATTATTTAAAAAAATATTTTAGAGAATCTCTAATAATGTAATTTATTTGTTTAATTGTTTTACAATAATCGTTTGGTCTAAATTGTTAAGATAAATTTAATTTGTTTGAATTTAACCTATCCTAATATTTTTAAAAAGTTGTATTAGTGTTTTTTAAGTTTCTTTCACTTTAATCCTACATCCTGAAAGAAATAGGTTTCTTCCGGACAATTATTACCTCAAAGTTATTTGTTTAACAATATAATTTATTTTTTTAATTATTTAACAATTAAAATGTTTTGTAAAAATGTTAAGCTACATGTAATTTGTTTAAATTTAAGCTATTCTTCAAATACTTCAAGTCAATTTATTGGTCTTTTTTAGTTTCCTAGATTTCTTCCACTTTAAGCAGTTTGAATACAGCATTCTGAAACAAATAGTTTTCTTCTGGATAATCATGCTCTGAAAGAAACTGAAATTTATTTGTTTAACAATATAACTTATTTGTTTAACCATTTAACAAAATAATTTATTTGTTTAACAATTAAACAATTGTT